CTCATAATGTTACAACTCTATTCACATAGTATTATGAATTTATTTCTATACGACTTTAATGTCGTCATATTATGACTTTATTCTCGTAATTTAAAAAAATTTAAAAAAATCTGTTAGTGTGACCCTAATACTCCGTTGTACAAAAAAAAAAAAACTGTAGCTTGTGTTTCTTTTTCTTCCTCTTATCGTTTCCAATTCCTTCCCAGTTATTAATCATCAGCACAGAATCAAAGTTTAAGTCTGGCAGGGCCAAAACAAAGTGAGACAGACTTTGTAAAGCTGGAGCGATGCGAACGCAGCAGAGAACCTGTCATAGCGTAGACCAGAGAAACTTATCCATCAAAACGTTTACAACACAAAACAACTCAAACAACAACATATGTGATGGAGCTGAACACCAGTCTGTACAGATTGTCTCACCAACACACGCACTGTCCCAGTTTCAGGGCTCCTCCTTCCTCAGCAGCTGTCCCACGGCTCCACTGCCAACCAGGAATTACTCAGTGCCCAAATGAAAACATCAAGGACAGAAGAGAAGCTCTCATCAAGCCATCCATTGAAAATAAGACACACACATACACCTTACTCAAGTTTGAATACAAAAGGTAGAAATGAACCAATTTAACTCTGTTTTCAAGCTTGGGTCAAAGTCAGGATCACACTGGCACACGTTAACTATTCTCAGCACTTCCTTGAGACAAACAGAACCATCTTTATCTCAGTAAAGGCATGACTTTTCTTTTCTAAGGAATCATGTTACTTGAATTAACACAAGTTATTTTTGATGAATTTGGCATCTGACATGGCTCTTAAAGGCGTCATGACTTGATATGTTGTTCATCCCTTCATTAAACCCGGTCCAGTCCCTCTCTGACCTCACTGTGTGTGCTTGAGGGGCCGTCGTCAGCAGCAGCAGCCCCCAGTGGTCACTTTGCGGCGGAGAGCATGGGTTGCTCCGTGTACCAGTGAGTCCCTGGGTCAGGCATGCTGCCCCCCAGCGGCAGGGCGATGAACTGCGGGCAGGTGCCGCCCCCTGCTCCCATCACTCCCATGCTGACGCCCTGGGGAAACGGGTGGTGGTGCACGTGGTGCGCCATGGAGTCAGTCCGTCCGATGTGGATCTCGTCCTCCTCGCTCTCGCCGGTGGTCTTGCGGTAGACGGGGTTGTCGAAGTTCATGCTCTTGGTGGAGTTGCGCCGCCAGTTCCGCCACACCAGGTAGACTCCGGCGCAGACCAGGCCGAACACCACTGTGGCAACAATAGGAACTGCATGTGTTTAACACACAGCGGCGGGGGGACATGGGAAGGGGGGAGCGTTAACGAGGCAGAACGAGTTGAATGTGTGAGATGAGAGGCACAGAGAGGAGCAGAGCAGGCATGCAGAGGACAGGAGGGGAAGAGACAGCGGTGCAGAGGGTTTGGGTCAACATCGGGTCAAAGAGCAACACACAAAGTCCTAAAAAAAGCATCATAAACGTTTAGAGTTAATTTGATTTCAGCATCATTATGGAGCAAAATTATGAACTTTCTCATTACCCCCACAATGTCTTAGTCTCAAGTAAGCATCGTCATTTCACAGTGCATCATTAAATTACATTAATAATGTTTAGGATGCCAAATTTCTGTTTTAGTTTTTTTTTTTACTTCACCAGAAGTTTGACCTTTTCTTATCACGCATGCTGACTAAAGACTGAACGAACAGTCACACCTTTCAGCTTCATTTAATTCTCCTGAACCTGGTTCTGCTGGAGGTTTCTTCCTGATCAGCAGGGGGTTTTTCCTCTCCACCGTTTGCTCAGGATGGGAGACTGTGATGAAGTCATTCAACACAATCTGCTGGTTTCTTCTTTACATTGTTCTTTTTATGTACAGTGTCCTGAGTCAACATATGTTGTGACTTGGTGCTATACAAATAAACTGGATTGAATTGAATTGAATTCAGGATTGGTTGGACCCAAATTAAGAATGTACTGCAATAAAATTTCTACTGAACTCATTACTTTGTAACAGGTTTTAGTTTACTAAGGAAAGAAAAGGTTTTGAATAAGAAATAAAAAATTAGACTAAACCAGTGGTATCTAAAAATTATTAATACAAATTAGGCTTGGGTGGTATGACAGTATTGGACTGTGATGGACTTGCGACCTGTCCAGGGTGTACCCCGCCCCTCGCACTGTGACTGCTGGATATGGGCACCAGTGACCCACGCAACCCTGAAAAGGAAGAAGCGTGTACAGAAAATGGATGGATGGATGGATGGTATGACAGTATTTTGGTATACCGCTGTATTAAAATAAGATGACAGTATTTAAGGGGAGTGGTATTGTGCAAAATTGACTTTCTTGAGCTGTATAACATTATTTCCTCATCAAAAACATACCCAGGGCGTTGCTTTGACTCATTCATTCATGTTTGAGAAATCCTTGAATCTCTTGAGGCCATGTGGAGCTGCCTAAACACTTACTGATACAAAGCTCCGCCTATTTGTCCAAAGCTCCTCCCTGGAGCTCAGTGTGCAGCCGAGTGTCCACCCAACAGAGCACCCCTTCCATGAAGCACTGTTGTGAAGACGTGCTGAAGTGGGAATGTCTGTAACAGTACGAGGTTCTTAAAGAGACAGAGGCCAATTTCATGCAAATTCAAATTAATTTTACATAATTTTTAGAACAACTGAAGGTAAAATAGTTACTCGATTGTGGTATAGAATTGAACTATGTGTCTGGAAAATACATCCTCTCCCCCTCTTTAAAAATTGAGAGTCACGTGAGGTGATGCGGGAAATTTCCACAAGCCTCCAATAAAAACTGGGACACAAACAATTTAAGATCTTTCAGAAGACGCCCAAAAACTTTACTGATGCGTGTTCTGTCCACCTCCGTCCACTCAGAGGACAAACGGAGGTGGAGAGAGAGACACCCTCGTTTGTCTCTTGTCTTAACCTCCATGCGAGGCAGTGCCAGAAATGTTACTCGCAGACTGAAAAAGTGGGCCGGTGTTTTGCTGACAGGCAGCTTTGGGACCACCCAGCCACAGGCTTCTCAAGTCAAATCAACAGAATTGGTCTCTTTCAGCGTTTGGAAAAAAAAAAGAAAAAAATTCATGACACGCGAGCTGCTTCTTGCAGACAAGTAAATGACTACAAAATTTATCGGCACAAAGACAGGCTAAAAGTATGCAGCAGCGAGGCATAAACTGTGGTAAGAGTCAAAATATTTTGAAACTTAAACCCTTAAAAGACGTAGTAGGACCTATTTTGACATGAGCTAGTCCTGCTTCTCTGGGTGACAGCAACATCTCAGAGCAGCTGATCCCCCCCCCCCCCCATGCCTTTCTCTGGGTGTGGAATGTTATGCTCACAAGTAGCTGTTATTTATTAATTTCTCAGCATGTCCCAGGCCGTACTGCCCAACCCTAGTAGAAACACATTTTTTGCCATAAAAACTGCTTAAATTAACTGGTGGCTGTGGAAAGCAACATAAATTATTAGTTGCATAAACAACTATGTACAAAATTGCTCAAGATTTCTGTGTGTTCTTGGCTCAGTTATTTCATTAACTGAGTTAGAACTAAACAAAGAAAGCAATTTAAGATTTTATTTTTGCTAAATTTGCTTAAATTTTTTTTGCAGTCTTTATACATATCAGTAAAATGATCATTGGACTGTTTATTTTATTTTAACAACATATGTACTAAAAGGTATTTTGACAACAAATATATATCAGCTGTAGCAGCATCATATGAATTCTGGCATTTTACACATAGTCCACCAGGAGGCGCCAACACAAAAGTCAGAGACGTCACATGAGATTTGGACCATCTTCTGGGGGAAAAGCAGATTACTTCCTACTCGCGAGCGCCCCCTCTGGTGGGGAAACTGTTTTCAGTGATACAAACCTTTTCAGAACACCGGTAGACAGCAGCCATTACAGACAAACATGTTTGTTGTTGTTCGAGGAGTGGCCCAGTCACACACTAATGTCATTAGTTTGTTATCATTACTGAGCTGCAGGACTACTTTTTAACCTGTTTTCACATCATATCGCCTGCCTGGATCTGTTATTATCTCGCACTGAAGCATGGAGGAGTGTCACAGGTAAGCTCGCTTCAGCTGTTTTTTATGACGCGGTCTCATTTCTGGATTCAGGCATTTGGTGAATGAAGCCGATATTTCAGTTAAAATACAGAAGTAAAAATATTTATACGAGTATAATACTACCCCCCAACTTTATGGATGATTTTATGAATTAAATTTTATGTATTATACTTGAATAAATACGGTAAATCATAACATTAGAGAATGCTAATGACAAACAAAAGAGTTGCTTAATCGAAGTTATTGCTAAAGCAAACCCAACAGAACAACACGGCGTGAGGTGAAGAATGAAGCGTGGTGGCAGGAATGTCAGACAGGAAGTGACTCAAAGAAGACGGCCTGGGCACCGGCCTTCTTTCGTCAAGTCCACGGCACAAGGCTCAGAGTGGATGGATGCAAACTGAAGTCAGAGGCAGACTACAGGCTTTTATTGTGAAAAGGCAAAAACAAAGAAAGTTTTAGGTGGCTTACCAATAGGAATGACCACACCCAGAACGGCCACTGTCAGGTTCTCGCCCAGGAGGAAATTCTCGCTTCCAGCTGAAATGAGAAATTAGGTGTTAGAGCGAGAGGACGAAAGCAGCTTTATGAGAAATGTTGAGAGCGAGGGAGCGTTTAGGATATAAAATGTGGGAGACACAGAGGGAGAGATAAGCAGAGCGGCGAGGACGGATGGGCCGGTGGAAGATAGGGGAGATAAAACGGAGGTGGGGAGTCTGAGACCATGCCTGCACACTCGTGAGTGTTTTACAAAGAGAGACAGTTTATGGGTGATGGAGGGAAAAAAAGACACTGAATAAGGGATGCAACACAGTGCATGTACACACTGACCTTCTGCACTCTATATTTTCCCAGCTCTGTTTGCTTCCAAAGTCATGTTAAAACTCATTTGTATTCAACAAACCTAACAACACACCTACAGGACTGAGCAGCACTAATGTCTTCCCCTTCCTGCCCACACAAAGCACGGTTTATGAAGAAAATGTCGTTTAGTAAAGTGGCAATAAGTCCAGCCAAGTCCAGCTGCCCATTTAAAGGGCCTATATTATGTGTTTCTCAAGCATATATTTAAATACTATACCATAATAAAGTATCTATGTCACCTTTAGCTG